GGCTGTCAGAGATGTGTAGTCCTACTTTAATTAAAGTGTTGTGTAGAAATAGTTACTTAGTATTTCAGATGCTTGACTAACAATATACCATCAGGTGCTGGTGTGTAAACCGAATGGTGACTCACTCGGTGTAAAACACAGTGTGATGTAATTCTCGGTTCTGTAAATTTATATTTTATGTTCAGTTTATGACTCAGCTTCCAAGAAGAACAGATAGTGACAAAAGTTTGTCAGTGCACTCTAATCTTGTGAGTGGGTGTGTGATGGATGGCTGTAATGGAGTAAAGATCCACAGCGGAGTGCATCAGAGCAAAAAAAAAAAAAAGCCGAAAAAGTCACCTTGCACTGAATCGTTTTAGAGCATGAAGCGGCACCGTGGGTCGTCTAAGCTCAGCGGTGTTAAGCCGACTAGCGTATGACTTGTTTATGAGCCCGAAGCTAGGGGGAAGGTGAGTGAGTAAATGGAGACATGCCAGAAAAATCCTTGAACAGTGTGCGAGAGGCCTGTATGGCTTCACATAAACTACAGTTATATGCAGCATTCACTCTTCCATTACTAGCTCATCTCTTTTATCTAGAAAACACAGCTAGTGTCTTTGTTTTGCTTGTCACGTCATGCACGGATACAAGGCTGCATAAGCACACAGCAGTGCCTCAGCAAAGAGAGGAAAGACTCTTTTAGAAGAGGACAGAACCGCATTAATCAGATCAGTCGGACACTTTTGCATTTACGTGAGCATTTATGTAATTATGACTCATGTGCGTGTTGGTTAGTAACAATTTCTTTTTTGTAGTTTTTGTAATTTCTTCAGCTGGGGTCAAATACACTCACTGGTTTTGTCTGTCAGTCTCTTCTAGACTGAGCTAATCACATCTTGAAAGCACCTTTGTACCAGTGAGGAAACAAGAATGGACTTCAGCATCAAGGTCAACAAAAGCTGTGGCTTTTTTTTTGTAGACTTGCTGAGAAAGACAAAAAAGCTGCAACTTATGCACTTTGTAACATCAAGGTATAGTTTTTTGTTAAAGGGCCAAAGATGTGGTTTACTAGCTCCTGGAGCTTACTAGGTTTCTAGGCCAGGTTATCACGTAAAACTGTGTATCTCAACGACTGTGGCGAGGGCTTTGTGATCATGGGAAGAAACAATAGAAAAAGAATACGAGAAAATTAGGAGCTTTGATTCAGTTCACTTTTTTTGTTTGTTTCTTTGTTATCCTGGTGGCTGCAAAAGTTTTAGCAGTCCTGTGAAACTTTTAAGTGGTGGTAGCGACAACGAGCAGTATCAGAAACCTCTAGAAACCTCTTATGAGTCCATTTATCAACCAGAATGTGGGACATGAGTGGAGACCAGGGGTGTCAAACTCACTTGTAGTTCATGTGTCACATACAGGCTGATTTTATCTCAAGCGCACTGCAGCTTGAGGTCAGTTAAGAAAAATCTCAAAAAAGTCTCAACAATTCGTCTGTTTCTCCACATTCAGTTGCTGTAATCAAATTAACCTCACACCTCTGCTTAACTGTCTTACTTCGGTGGGGTATGGCCGGTCATGGGTAATGTCTAAAGTTTTAGACCTCAAATTAATACTCTGACACCTTCTTTATTATTAATGACTTGCAACACCATGCTTTTTGATGCAAAATACAGAGAAGTACAGAAGAAGTTTTCAGTTTTCACACTTTTCACCCACCTTTGCAAAGCTAAATGTCTCAAAAATATGGTTTTAGGAACCAAAGGCAGGACGCTGAGGCAAGAAATAACAAAAAAAAAAAAAAACGCTTCTTAATTAAGCCAGCAAAAAAAGATAAAAACTTAAAGCCCAAACAAGGAGCCTCAACATGATCCTAAATGAAGATCATGAAAATAACTAGAGGGGTATACTACAAAGGCGGCTCAATAAAGCCAGGCTTTCCTACTCCAGTCAGAGATAATGGGCATCACAACAGCAATTATCAGGTTTCTCTGTCAAGTCGGGCTTTCTGTTTCAGTCTCTCTGTCTGCTCGCATGAATGGGGGCGTTTCACACGTCATATGAGTCTTCTTTCACACAAAATGATCCTTATGAATGCCGCCTACTTCAGTCACAGATGTTATCAGGTAATGATAATAAAATGGCATTTAAAAAAATCTATAAAAAAATAATACAACACAGTTACAAACAAGACAAAAGGTTAATGCTGCCAGAAATCACAGAGTGATAAAATAAGCAATTGAGTTTGAGTTATTTGAATGCCGATCGTGCTCTCAGTGCTGCTGTTTGTTTCTAATGTGACGGCTGAACAGGTATTCATCGCGCGCGTGTGTTGTTTTTACATGACCAGCTCGCCTAGTCATGTAAAAAGATGGGCACTTTTGTCACACAGACAAGCTCAACATAGATTGCTAACCCATTAATCTTGCTTCACAGTAAACCCCTCTGAAGAGGACGATCTGACTACGGATACGCAGGGGATTAATTGGAGACTTTTAAAGGATTAGGCATATTTGAACAAAATCAAAGGTTCAAAAAAAGATCAAAAGAGACGTACGGGGAAAACCAGCAATCACAGCAAAACAGGAAAAACTCAAATGTGAGATAATTACCACAGAGACAAGATGACTAACATTAAACGTTAGTTAGGGGAGATGCTATGTTAGATGTTAGGGAAACACTGTCGTAGTCATGACCGTGTCATTTGAGGTGAGCACTAGCATTTAAGTACACGCTGAGCCTGACATTGACAGTGAGTCTGTGCAGATATACTAAAGCTGAGTTTGTGACCGGGCTACAGCTTTATCGGACGCCACTCATGTCTCTTGCTGCTCGAGCGGAGCACGTTCCAGCGCTAAAAGTCAAAGATATTTCAGCTTTTAGCTCACCAGCGCTGCACATTAAATAGGTTGTCAGTTGTTTCATAGCAACAGCAGTGGCCTAGACGAGTGCTCACCTCAAGCAGCTATTGAAGCTAGACAAATAAAAGGTGCAGAGGGTTATTTATAGCTGCACGTCATTCACTATATTACTATTAAAGGTGAACGCCATTCCAATTCTTCTGTTTAATAATTTCACTTGTACTCTTTAACATTTCACAGGCACCTCTTATGCTGAAGTGTGGACTCCTGACCAATAGCGATCTGCTATTACATAACACAGATTGCAGATCACTAATTGGCAACTATAGGTATTGTGTAATTCCCAAAACACTTTGTTCCCAGGCACTGTTTGTCTTGATAAGGAATTTCACGGCATATTTAAAGCTGATAGCGCTCACCCAACCGTGTGTCAGACTTCATCTTGTGCAACGAAGTTCAATAAAAATCATAACAAGGTATCAAATTCCAGATGAGCTGCAGTTTCGTCAGAGATGTCAACACGGAGACTTTGAAGGAGGAACTTTACTGTGTTATCAAATAGAAGATTACTGGCAGCAGTTACACGCTAACAATTTTGTCAGCTCTACGAACACGGCTGCGGGGTCAGCTGAAAGCTTTTATTGTTGGACCGACTGACTCGAAAACTCGTGCTTTTTGGAAAATTAAAACTTTCAGTCGTGCTGTAAGTGCAAGTGAGTTTGTATGTTAGGGCCCACCATTCATCCTAAAATAACTGGTTTTAATGGGCCTCTGACATCAATGTTCAGAGGTAGCAAGGAGGGTTAGTTTTAAAGCAATCTCTATTAAAAGGGGTTTATGATATTTTGTATTTAAACTCGTAAACTCGATCGCTGATAGATCACAGAGTCTGCCCGGGAAGAGGTGACTGCTGAAAGCATCTGGTGTAACGTTTGGTTCCAGTGAAGCTCTGTAAACACAAATCTCAGCAGCTCATGTCTGGAGACAGCAGACTTCTTGGACCAAATTAATATCACAGCAGCTTTCTGTATCTAATTAAAAGAAGCGGCAGGACAAAAACAAATGCAGCGTCTGCACGCTCACTAATTAATACACTGTTGAAAATCTTTGCATTGCTTCAAAAATGGCAAAGGACTGAAAAAAAAAACCCCTAATTTTTATGAATAGTTGGGTTGGATTTATTTTTTTCTTAACAATCTGAACAGTCTGGAGCTCTCCTAATGAAATATTTATTTGAATATGTGCATTTGAAATGGCCTTTTCTGGTCACGCCTGGTGTCTTGGGCAGACAGTGACCTCGCTGCTTATGGCACAAATGACCTCGCACGGCATCATGACTGCGAGCCAGAGATGAGAATTAACAGTCTGTCAGTCGAAGAGAGACGGCAATCCCCTGAAGCCAATTGACAGTTTGCTGAGATTTAATGAAATGGGTGGCACAGCACACGTCCCTGGGCTTAGGCTGAAAACCTCCAATGGAGTGACAGTGCCTCAATTTTATTTACAAATTGAAAATCTAAAAATATAAGAGGGGAAAATAATGAGAGCGGTGTTAAGAAAGCATCCTCCTTTATCAGAGTTCATCCGCTAACTTTTTCTCCAGATAGCAGAGTTGCTTTATTTGTGTCTGTTTACCCCAAGAAGGGAAATTGGATTTTAATTACTCGAGTGCTGCAAATATTTTTAAAATTAGGAACTGTTGCAACAGTTTGGAGATGTGCATAATTAGAACAGTGAGGACGGAAATCACACAGTGTCTCACATTCCTGATGATTTTAGAAGCAGACTGGTATATGTGCAGTTATAACCAATGGAACCAATGACTGCAATGCAAATGGAAAAACAAGAAAAAAAAAACAGTATTTATTTATTGACTTGATACCATTTTAGTCCTTTAAATACACTCGGTGCATAGTTTGACATTTTTTTGGGACATACACTTCCTTCCCTCTCTCATGTCTATACTAAATATAAATGTGAAGCCAGTTGGCTCAGCTTTGTGAAGGCAGTCTTTGTGAACGGCCTGTGGCTGCGTGTAGGTCTGTGAAGATCCGGATTTATTCTCTTGTTTATTTCTCATGGGTGATCACATAACAAGAGTTTTTGTTACAGCACACGAGAGTAAATGACCAGATGTTGTTGTTGTTGGAGTTGGTGGTTATTACTGCCTTAGGCCAGCCTCCTGATTGGCTTTAAAACTAACCTTGGACCCCCACTGGGCCAACATGAAGTCACTGTTCCAGTCTTTACTTCAGTGTTCTCCTCATCCAGCTGCCCCCTCATCTTTTCTCTCTCCTCCTCTTCTTCTCTCTCCCCCCTGCTCTCAGAGCTCGTATCCCACCTCTCCTCCTCACTGCTCAATCTCATCAGCTCCACCTCGACTCCCTCTTCTCTCTCTTCCCCTGTGTTTATCTCCCTCTGCACACATCCCTCCTTGTTCTCTAGCTCTTTCTTTCGGCTTTGTTCCTGCTCTTCAGCCTCCAAACTCGGCTGTTGTTCTGGCTCCACTTCTGCCTTTGTCTCTGCCGTCTTTTGTTTTCTCCTCGCACTTCCCACTTCTGTCTGCGCCTCGAGCAAAGCTCTCAGCTGCTGCTCTCTGCGTTTCCATTCCTCCTCCAGCCTTTGGTACATGTGAAAGGAGAAGTGCCACCCCCCGTTCTCCTCCAGCATATCCTCCACTTTGCTCAGCAGCTCTCTCACTTGCTGCTGCTCTCCTTCTCGTCTCCTATCCAGCTCGCCTCCGGTGCTCACCCCTCGTGCTTCTTTGTCAGTTTTCTTCAGCCAAGTCCATTCCTGTCTCCTTCCACTTCTGTTCACCTCCTGCTTTAGTCCCCCCTGCGTGCAATTAACAGCTGCCTTGTTATCCAGCACATGGTATCGATAGTGACATTTCTCCATCAGCCACTTCAGAGCAGGGCCACCTGTTTGGATGTGCTCCTGTACGCTGCAGCCTTTTTCTTTTAGCAAGTCTCCAAAAGTGAACAACACCATCGTGTGTCTCCAGACAGCAGAGGTGAGGATTTCCATCCTTCTCTCTACTGCTTTCCTCTCAGACTCGGTAAAGTCCATAAGAGGAATCACTAACAGAACCACATGAGGTCCCTCAGTTCCACACAGCGATAATGCTCTCAGGAGTTCAATCTTCTCCTCTTTGGGAACAAAGTCCTCAGATGTTCCCCAGCCCTGCGCATCCACCACGGTCAAATGGCGTCCAGCAGTGACAGCACCAGCTGCTGCACTGGCCCCTCCTCCTCTCGTGTCAAAAACCCGCCCTCGACCCAACAGGGTGTTACCCGTGGAGCTCTTCCCTGTCCTCCTGGGACCAAGCAGCAAAGCTTTGAGTGCGCGTGATGCTGTTGGAAAGAAAAGGGCAAGAAAACTTTGAATCCAAAGGCCTGAGTTCAGTGTGCTTGTTATAGATTTGTCAATTACTAAAGTCAAGAAAGGTAGAGTCAGTGAGTGGCAGGAGTGACTCATACTCGCCCACTTGTAATCATATTTACACCTCATGAATCATATCCATTTCACTGTCTTGGAGAGATTGGAAACAACACTCAGGCTTTTCTGCATCTTTCTTCCCTCCAGTGTTTTGCACACTGGAGGTTTGTTGCTAACAGATGCCTGCTGTTATCTTTAACAACAAAACAATATCTGAAAAACTAAAGCCCGCTCAGTCAAAACGTCTTAGATTTGCCTGCAGAAATGTTTATTATTACTATTATTTTTTTTTAACTTTTGTGAAATCTCATCACAAATACACCTTCTAGGATTGCAATTACTTACTTGCATGCATAGGTGTGTTCCACCAGCTCTCCATTGCGGGTGATTTCCAGATGTAGCTAGTATAAGTTTCCTCCATAACAACTTTGGTACCACAGCGGGGATTCCTGAATCCAGCTTCCCAGGATAAACAGCGTGTAACATGAAGAGTGTTGAGCAGTGCAGTCTGGCAGAGCGGATACTCCATCCACTTATGAAGTTTGACAAAGGCACCTCCCAGTTTTTATTGCTCTCTTGATATTCCCGAGAATCATTAAACCATCAAATCGTTTATGATTCCCGTCAGTTTGTTTTTAACAATTTTTTCGTTTTTTAACTTTTTGTTTTCGCTGTTCGGTGGATTTTGAAATTTGTTTATTTACTACGCCAAGATTTAAATATACAATAATGTACAAGCAGCGTTGTTGCATTACAGCATAATGGAGATGGTAAGCTTGCATCAATTAAATGTGAATGGCTTCCTGTATGTAGGGACACTGCAGTAGAAGCTGCGGCACAATAACAGCATGCGCTATCGAATGTAGGTTTACATGTTTTATGTGCATAACTTTCTAAAAACTGTCAGTCTGCCCCAGGGCAGCTGTGGCTACAACTGTAGCTTGCCTCCACCAGTGTATGAATGTGAGAGTGAATGAATTGTGGAATTGTAAAGCGCTTTGAGGCCCCCGAAAAGCGCTATATAAATGCAATCCATTATTATTATTAAAACGTTTTAATACTTAAGTTGACACATTTTTTCTATAAAGGCTAAAACGAATCCTTCGTATTACTGCTATTTTTGTTTTTGTCTTAATAAAATATTAATATATGAAGTGGTAAACATCCTCATCACCTGAATTAAAAAAGTTCATTTCATTGACATATTGCTCATCGACTTACTCACCCTGCTTTACTTCCGTTTTTTTGGGTTTTTTTGTCTTACAGGTTTTATGATTTTACAGTTTGTTTTGATCATAAACCTCTCTGTCTCTGCTGCGTAATGTCCGGGCTCACGTGCCGTGCGTCTCTAACCTTAATCTGAGCACGTGCACCTCACAGATAACGGTGTACTCGGACTGTGAACATGTGGCTGCAATTTTGCGTCAGCCTGTGTTGTTTTTGTGCGTTAGCAACAGCACTATTGATTGTTACAGTTTTCCATTATCTAAAGCTAAAGTCAGCACAGCTAAACTTAACATAATATCAGAATGACCAGTAATAGTATATTATAAGGCTCTGAAACCTGAGATGTGCTGCATTTCTCCTTTAAAATGGTCTTGCTCACAGTTTAGTGCCAAGTCCATTGTGCTGGATGAGCATGGACTTGCTGAGTTCAGCAGCATTTTGTGTTCTAGGTGCAAATAGAGGCGCAACATTAAAGATAATCAAGTGAAGATATTTTAACTTTTCTTGTAAATTTGCTGATTTCTAAATTAGAACCACAGAGCTGGATTACAATCCCAGGTTAGATTCCACGGTTTAGTCTCCATCCCTTCTGTCTCTCTTATCTCTCTGTTTTTACACCTGATCCCCTTTTTTGTTTTGCACCTGATGCTTCTGTGTCTCTGTGTGTGTGTGTGTGTGTGTGTGTGTGTGTGTGTGTGTGTGTGTGTGTGTGTGTGTGTGTGTGTGTGTGTGTGTGTGTTTGTGTTTGTGTCTGTGAGTGTGTGTGTGCTGGGGAAATCCATGCTCTGACCTGAGAGGTTAAGCCAGTGAAGGATCAGCTGGGTTTTTAGCTCAGTCTGTTTCTATTAGGTCGGTGGCAAAGGAGCGCCTGCTGAATGTGTGCACGTGTAAGAACTCATGTTTGTTTACAGGAAGTGTCAATGCCTGTGTGTTTGTGTGTGGGATGATCCTTGAGTTGCCTTGAGGCTACAGGAACAGCAGCAGCCTTTTCCGCACGTATGCTGTCCCCCAAACTTCCCTCGCTTCTTCTTCTTCTTTTTTTTAATTTGTTTTGAACTTTGATCTGCTTCTTCTTCTACTGCTTTGTTTTTCTCCCTCTGTCTTCCTTCTTTTCGTCTGGCACGCACACAAACACACAGCGACCTTCCTAATTGTGTATATAATTAGGTTACCCTCTCTAATGAGGCTGCCCATCTTTGAGATTCTGAAATAGTGTTTACACAGCACATTACATCTGTTAATGTGCTAAAGCCAGGCACTCTCTGTCTAGGTTTGTTTAATTATTCAGTTGTTTTAAAAGCATTTATCCATAAGAAAGAGATTATGGACTCTGCTATAATCCATTGATTGGTTTGTTACAGGGAACGCCAGCTTTCTATTATCACAGCCACAGTGAGCAGTAGGAGGAATACACTGATATAGCAGATGTTGGTGTCTGAACCATAGAAACATTCCCAGTAGCACCAGCCAATCATTTATACAGTTATTCAGTATTTCTGTGAATTTGTTATTTTTGTTGCATCTTTGGTATTTTCTAATCTAAAAAGAGATTTATTTTTATATCCACGTTTACATTAATATCCTTATTAATTAGTTAATAATATGCCACAGATACTCCTCGTCATCTGTTCTCTCCGGCTGTTCCTCTATCCATCTACTCTTTTAAGCTGGAGCCTATACAAGCTGTTATAGGACACCCTGCGCAGGTTACAACTGTAGCACACTCAGATTAGATATGTGTGTAAGTGATCCAGTGTCATCGTGTTACTCAATAAGTTGTTGTGAACTGCGCCATTTTACACCATTAACACATGTTTTTGGCCACTGGGCTATTGCAAGTACAACTTTAACTGCATTTTATGAAAAGTATGGCTAATTAGCTAAATGCTAACGAGGTTAATGGGAACAGTAAGACTAAATTGAAGCAGTAAGAGTTAAATTCAAGCAAAAAAGTAGCTAAAAGATGCTAAAATGCTGTGTAGACTGGTTATTCTGGCTTGAAGTAATAATGTCCTTGACATATATTACACAGGTTAAATGCACAGTTTGAAAAATCCCGAGTCTTCAGTCTCTTTACACACAAGGTCTGGGTCTCTTAATTTAAGAGTTTCTTAGTAAATTATGCCAAAATTGAGATTTGTATGACTAAAGCCGCCTTCCTGCAGTTCAAGGAGATCTGAGGGTCAGACAGGCCCACTGTGCTCTGTCCCTACCTATTTATCACTCTCACTCCGTCGAGTCCACCCTTCCCTCTTATCTCACGACCTCTTCACATCTTTCTCTGCTTCATCTACTTTGCTCTTTTTACCTCTTCTTCACCCCTTCCCTTGCTCCCTTTATTCCTGTCTGCCGCTCTCTTGCATCTTCTGTTCTTCCCTCTCTCTTATCTCTCTGCCTGCCTTCCCAGAGGAGACAGTAAACAGTGGATTTACAGTAATGGTAAAAAGAGAGCAGGGCTTAAAAAAGAAACCCCACTGTGGCTTGTATTACCACCAGCTCCGCTGTACCGGCCAGCTCTGCCCACAGTGCCCATCTTTCTGCGCGACACTAATGTGGCCGGTAAGATGTGAGTCATACCACAGACGATTTAAAGTTACCCAAACATTTCAAGAAGGAGTTTGCTCTAGGAGGACTTGAAACACAAAGGATTTTCTCATCTCATCTCTCCTAAGTCTGTGTGGGACGGGCTTAGAACAACTTTGTTTGTAGCCATTAGTCCTCCCACCCCGTGGCTGCATCCCCCCACCCCCCATTTTTTTTTAGTATGAAAGCATTTTCTAACAAATCCTCCATGGATTGTTGCAACATTGCAGCATTAGTTCTGCACAGTGGCGTCTTCATTGTGTCCTAAAGTGTGATAGCAGATACAGGATGCCACCGGAGGTACATTACTAACTTCTCTCCATGTCTGTGAAGGATGTTTGGCAAAGTTCAGTTTCTAGTGTTTGCAGAGGAGTCGGAGAATAAAAAAACACCTCCCGCTAATCCTCGTCTTTGCTGTTTTTGTTTTTGTTCTGAGGTTTGAATCTGGTTATTTTATACAAATTCTCTTTGTTGTGTCATAACGAATAATTTAAACCCACTTTCTCATTACTGGCTAGGCTCAGATTTGTCAATTTAAATATTTATAAGCTGTTTTTACTGCACTGCTCGCCTCCCAGAAGATCTAAGCAGGCTTTATATTTAATATTCTGCACTGATTTGTTCTACATACAATGTGAAAGTCACACTCTTGGGGGGAGCATATAGTAAAAGCAATGCACTGAGACTCAGACCGGGCGGGAAGCTGCGCAGCAGGGCTGTTAAAACAAGGGAAGTATCTGATAGACCGGATTTTAAATGGGATAAAGATTCAGCGACTTGAGAATCAATTTTTTCTTTCTGTCTCAAAACAGCCTCACACTTAAAGCTTCCGTGTCGTGATAATCTGCTGACTTTCTGGTTTGATGTAGGCAGAAACTTGGCCCACTATTAGAAAGATTTAAAATATGTGAAAAGTAGTTTAACCCCTTGGCATATCAAGCCTTATGTTTAGGCTTGAGGACAAGAAACAGCACGGGAAAGACTCCAGTCCGGCCCACTGGACGACTCTGGAAAACTCTGGACTTAAAAATCTATTTTAATAATTTTTATGGGTGCTTTTTTTCCTTGGCTGATAAAGACTTCTCCCATGGCCATTCATTATACATCAAAGTACTTAAGTAAAAAATAAAAATTAAATGTCAAAATGACTATTAAATGACCATAGGCTATAGAAACTTTTTTCTTTTGGGCCACAATCCTGTTTTATAATTACAGCAAAGTGTAGGAAATGAGCTGCCAGGACGGTTTTGATAATTTTTTTACATTTTCTTCTCACATTTTAAGCACAAAGAACCACACTTTTAATCATTGAAGAAAAACTAACATATACTGTTGAAATTGCACTTCTTTTGTTATATTAAGACTTCTGTAGTTTCACTGGTCCAGCCCACAGCTGATCAATATGGGCTTTATGTGGTCCACGATGTAATTTGAGTTTGTCATGCATTTACATTAACTGTAAAACGTGATCCTCACGTTGTCGTGTCTGCGTGTGCACGAGAAGTACTGCTGCAAAAACACCGCAGAGATGGTTCAGAGTTGTTTGGTATCTATGGAAAGATTCTGCAA